GAGAGAGAGAGGAGAGGAGAGAGGAGGAGAGAGAGAGAGAGAGTTGATTCAAGTTCTTAATGTCAGTCTAAACAATACAATTATGTTGGTGCATCATGGCATGTGGCTCATTAAAAAAAAGTACAGCTATTATCTACCTCTTGTATAACTGGTCGGCCCCACCTGCATTAGCACAATGGATGAAACAAATATATTAGGCAAGGCAAGGCAAGGCATGTTTATTTATATAGCACCTTTCAACACAAGGCAATTCAAAGTGCTTTACAAAAATGGAAGACATTATGAAAATGGCATTTAAAATCAGTCATTAAAAAGAAAAGAAACATTAAAAGAAAAAATACATGGATAAAAGTTACAGTTTAAGATGTGAATAGTTCAATTAAAAGCAGCGGCAAAAATAAAAGTCTTCAGCCTGGATTTAAAAGTAGTAAGAGTTGCAGCGGACCTGCAGGTTTCTGGGAGTTTGTTCCAGATATTTGGAGCATAATAACTGAATGCTGCTTCTCCATGTTTAGTTCTGACTCTGGGGACAGAAAGCTGACCAGTCCCTGAAGACCTGAGAGATCTGGATGGTTCATAATTTAGCAGGAGGTCAGACATGTATTTTGGGCCTAAACCATTCAAAGCTTTATAAACCAGCAGCAGTATTTTGAAATCTATTTAAAGTAAAACCACTTTCCAGCAGTCAGCAGCACATTGTAAAAGCTGTCGATACAACTGTTCACATTCATAATTAAGTAAAGATAACACCCTTTTCACCCCGGTTACATTTTCCATTTGCCCTGAGAGGCTCAGTGAGGTAAAGGACTGTTTAGATAGTTCACTTTAGTCTAAGTTATCTCAGTGTGTCTCAAACGGTTTTATCACAATTTATGTAAACAAATATTTCCAAGGCACACCTTTATAATTATTAGGATCAATAAAAACAGGTTTGAAATCATTCCAATGTAATTTCATTTCATTTCAAACCTTTATTTAACCAGATTGGTCCCATTGAGATCATAGATCTCTTTTTCAAGGGAGACCTGCAGCATATAGGTTCCACATGAAACATAAAACAATAAAGGACATCATACATTATATTTACAGGATACATTTACATAGTTATAGACATTTACAAGTACCCATAGTATCAACGAGCATTTCATTTAGCCTAGCTTTAAAAACATGCAGAGGAATGAGATTGCTCAGTTTCAATTCTTGCTGAAGATTGTTCCAAGCAAGTGGAGCTGCGCACATAAAAGCTGTCTTACCTAAGACAGTCCTTGCTCTTGGCACATGTATACTATAGGACAGTAAACCAACAATATCCTTTAAAACTGGAGAGATTAAAAAATATGGATGAATAAATAAATGTTAACTGATAAAATAAGATATAAATGAACCAGCAAAAATCTTGCCTAGGGCAGCAAATTGGTCAGAACCGGCCCTGGTGTCATCCCCACAGCACCCCCCATTTGAAACATGTTCCCACGGCTATGTTTTCATATTTAAGCTTGTAGCGAGTAGAGGGCTGCTGGCAGGCCCAGACTGGCCATCGGGAGGGCCGGGAGGTTTCCCGATGGCCTTAATGTAGGCTATTGTGAACGCAATGCTGCGCAAATGTGGGTTTGCCTCACACAGGGTGACTGTCTGTCTACATGATGTGGCATCTGTTTCATATGGGTGTTTCCATAGATCTAGTCTCTTTATTTTCCCCTCAAAATGCACCAGATTGATGCATTTAACTCCAAATTAAAAAAATATCTTACCAGGGGGGGCATGCCCCCGGACCCCCTTAGAGGATTTGAGGTCCACCCCCAAAATATGTTCACATGGATAGGTTCCCAAATACATTTGCAATTTTTTTTAAAATAGTAACCCCTGTCCATATGTTTATTATTGGTGTGCGTGTGTGTGTGTGTGTGTGTGTGTGTGTGTGTGTGTGTGTGTGTGTGTGTGTGTTTGAGTTTGAGTGTGTGTGCGCGTTAGTTTCAAAGACCCCCATAGAGCTCAGTTTATAACTCGAACCCTGCCTGCAAACCAATCTTGATCGCTCCTTACATCCATCTCACGGATGGATCTGCGGCACTTGAGTGAAGCAATATTGTGTGTGCACTGTGATAACACACACACTTCATGTTTCTCTGAGCGTTAGGGTGAATTCCCATGTTGCTCTGGGGTCTGTGAAGTGCTCTTGGCAGGGATGATGAGATGCTGTGACCTTTCACCAGCCCTGGCTCCTGGGAGTTGGATAAAGCAGCTCTCAATGGTTTTATATGACTCACAACATTGACATCTGTGTAACTTGCAGCAGCTCATCAGGCAGTGTTTGGCGGTATGCAAATAAATATTGTCTTATCACAACAGGAGTAGATACAGAGAGGGTATATACACAGTACAGTTTAGTTTATAAAAGCTGTGTACGTTTTTGTGCAAAACATGTATTTAAAGACAAAAATGTACACTTTGAAGTCAATTAAATAAGTGAAATGGTGCACATGTGAGTGGAAGCTCATCTGTGCAAAAGCACGATTACCCCCATGATGCACTGCAAAGTATATGGGCGTAATTCTTGGAGGAATGGGAGAAGAACTAATTCCTTAAAGGAGAGGTGTCATGGCCATTTCCACTGATCATAATTCCATTGTTGAGGTCTACTAGAATAGATTTATATTGTGCATTTTTCCAAACTCACATTGGTTTCTCATACAGCATCTCTGTAAACTACGTGTATTCACTGAATTTCACTCTCTGCCTTTAACGGCTCGTTGTAGCTCCAATAGCTCCAGCCCCCACCCTCCCTGTGAGCACAGTGTGCTCTGATTGGTCGGGACGTTGTGAATCGCGCTGAGCTCCGTGGAGGTGTTGTTTCCTTGTTTAGGATACATAGCGAAACACAGCCAAACTCATCCTGAGCACACACAAACTCACAGCCGAAGTAAAAACAATAAGTGTGGCTTGATATTGAGTAAGAAAAAGGTTGATAAACGCTGTGAGAATGGATCTGCAGAGAGAATTTTGCCGCGATCCCAACTGTCTGTTATCAGCCTGCAGCCAGGGAGGAGAAATCAGCAGAGCTGCCTGCTCCCTGCACACAGATGTGTGTGTGAGGAAGTCCGTGGATTGGTCAATTTGGACCAATCAGCGGGGGCTTAACGTAACGGCTCCGCGGACGTAACGTAACGGCTCCACGGATTGGTCCATTTCGTTCCGGGTACGGCTTGACATCATGCCGTCCCGGAAGAATCAAATGGACAATGACGTATCTCCAACGAGGCGTTTTGGGGAGGTATTTTCTGTGTTAGAGTTTTACTCCCTACAGGGTGTACTTTGAGGGTTTTGACTCTGCACACCGTTTACATGCATAAAAACCTTCATAACACACAAGGGGACGGGTAATAACCGGAAAAGCATGACATGTCTCCTTTAACATGATTTGCAGAATATTGTGATTAAAGCGTTAATCCTCCAGAGAAGGATTAGTTTGAGTCTGTGGTCAATCCTGTTTGCAGACATAATATTTCCTCTCTTTCTCTGCAGGTCAGAGGTCAGTGAAGGTACCATTGGGTGGAGATGATGTCCATGCAAAGTAAGTGCTCTGTCACCACTGCAGCCAGATATTTTCTATTTTATAGATGTGTGCTGTATACATCTGAGGCACATACAAATAGTCACCAATGTATATCATCTAATACTCTCATAAGGCAAACTGTGTTCGGTGAGCTAATTATGAATGGGTTAGGGTTATTGATTTTAATTGTTACCTTCCCATCTTTGGTCTGGCTGGAGCTGTTACTACAGCACCTTCCTCAAATAATGAGAGTTTGGAGAGTAGAAACCATCATGACATTATCAGTACATTTAATTAGGTTCTTTTAGACACATTGCATTGCATTATCATTGATAGTTCTTGTGATGTTTGTAATATTTAACATATCTGGTATTTAACTGCTCTGATGATATGTTTCTGTAAATAGAAACAATGCAGTTACAGTAAGTGCTCAGGATGTGTGCCCAGGATGTGTTCAGCCTTGTGGCTATGGCTCCATTATATTTAAAAGTTTAACCAGAATAATATTATAATAATATTTCCTATCAAAAGCAAAAACAGATTACTTCTGACTCTTTAATATGAATCGGTTTGATTACTTTCAGATGATAACAGGATCAAGACTGTATTTAAGAACAGTTCATATTGTGCACATTACTGTGATTCAATGCCGAACACAAATCCTAATCAACCAATGCAGAGTAATTGGTAGTGTTATACTTATTAACCAACCCATTGTAGTTGACTACAATGGGTTTTTAACCCAGGAGACATTCAATGCATTGAAAACAGCTTTACACACAGTTTACTGTGGTAATTAGATTAACAACATACACCTGCATGAGCTTGAAGTAGTTGCTTTAACCCAGGGGTGGGGAACCTTTTTCCTCTCAAGGGCCATTTCAATTTTTACAACATCCTCCGAGGGCCGTACAAATTATTGACCTCTGCTTAAAAATACTAAAATCACAGCCCATTCATTTCACCTTTCTTTCATGCTGTGCAAAGAAAAAGCAACCTCTTAATCCAGATATTTTACCATGACTAACGTATGCATGCACGTGCACGGTTGTGGCATGACCACCACAACAGAAAGATATGGACACAAGATGTGTGCAAATGTATTTAGTTTCCTATCCATGTGGACATGATTTAAGTAGGGGGGGGACCTAACCTCCTCTAGGGGGGTCCGGGGGAAGTTGGAAGTTAAAAGCATCAATCTGGTGCACTTTGAGAGCAACATGAAGAGATCTATGGAAACATCTCAACACCCATATGAAACAGAACTGAACAGATTGACTTTTTCTTTATGGATATTTTACAAGTCACTCCCCTTTTAAACTGTATTCTTGTTTATTAATAACAACTTTTTTTTACTGTCATATAGTATTTTATACCTGTTTACTTTATTCTCCTGTTTTTTTATAACTATAATGATCATATAAAGATGCGCCTTTACCTCACTGGTTGTAGAAAAAGCTTCTTATATTCTTATAGTCAGAGTGGAGAGGCTGCCAATGGTTGGCGTCATAGAGCGGTGAGGGTTTGCTGCCTTGCTTAAGGACACCTCGGCAAGGACTGGCACCTCTTCAGCTACCAGTCCACACTCTATATTTTGGTCGTTTGCCGACCCTTTGGTTCCAGAGCCAAGTCCCTACAGATTGAGCTATTCCGTCCCATTAGCAGGTTAGCTATAGCAGCAGTAGTATAGAGTAGTAGTTTTATTAGTACTGATGAGAGTCACGTGTTGTTCCCTGCAGTGACGGAGGCGGACAGTGTGGTGAAGGTGGCAGAATGGCAGCAGACCTACTACGCTTCAGACTCAGGAATCCAGTCAGGAGCCACCACAGTCCTGGATGACGAGAGCAGCACTGAGTACAGCGGCCGGAAGAAGTACACTGGTACTGCAAACAGTACTACCACTGCTACTGCCCCTCCCGGGGGAGGAGGAGACACTGCAGCCGGGGGACTAGAAAGCCCTACTGGTGAGAATGTTATTCAGCAGGGGTCCAAAATCATTTGGCTTTAGTAGTTGGGGTGTTTCCATGTATTTCTCTCATTCCTTTTCACCCTTTATCTTTGTTTCTTTTGCTAACACTGGCTTTCATCGCTTCATTCTTCTCTTATCATCATCACTAGATGTGTAGTCTTGTTGTTATGCCCCTGTTGCTTTTGTTCTTCTGTGTTCATGGTTCTTGTTTGTGCTAGAGCAAAGTATTTTATACTGTATGATATTTGATAGTCCGTTTGTCCATTGGCCAGGACATTCATCGGCTGGTTTAGAATTTGCGGATTTATTGTTTGCTCACCATTCTGTCCAACACACATTTGGATTTTTGCACTGAAGAGTCGCTTGATCTAGTCTTAATTTATGATGTGCTGAAAATATAAGTAGAGAGGGCATTATGTTTACTGTGAGTAAATGCAGGTAAGATTATCTTTTTTCCCTTCAGAAGAAACCTTTTTTCTGCCATTCATCTGTCTTTTAAATATGGAGAAACTCTGTTTTATCCTCTTATGATCTGTTACACTCTGCTTCTCACCAATCACTCAGCTAAAAAAAAGTTTCCTCCACAAAGTAATCCCTCAATACATGTAAACCTTGTAAACTTTTCGGTCCCATCTGTGCGATTAGGTTAGACAGCTGGCCCTTTCAAGAACAGGGATGCTTGTACTTTCAAAGCAAATACATGTTGAGAATTCTCATTACAAACAGAGAATATAGAAAACGTTCAACTTAATGTAGAGAGGAATGTGTAAGCTATACAACCTTGTTATGGGCTATAATTCTTACATCTCATGAAGTACTTTCAATCCCTAGTACTGTCAGTGTCCTCTTTACCAGGGGTAGAATGTAACCAGGTACATTTACTCAATTACTATGTTTATGTACACTTTTAACCTGTTAAGCCCCATAGTCCCGGCCGGCGGGGGCTACGTATGAAGGTAGATATGGTGCAAAATGCGAGAGCTTGTAAAACCTGATGTGAGCACTTGCAGAAAATAAATCTGAGCTTGTGTGCATACATTTACACTTGTATAAAATATCCACGTGAACCAAATTTGAAGTCACAGAAGAAAAGGTTTTGTAGCTTGTAGAAAAAAAATGAATTTAGTCATGAAATGTTCACTTGCAGAAAAATATAGATTTTTTAAATATATTTTCCATTACAACTGCAACTTGGTTATTACAATCAGTAATCAGTAGGGATGTAACGATATATCGAATATCACGGTAAATAAATGTCTCAACACCATGGTGAGACTGACAAAATCTACCGCGATTTAAAAAAAAAAATTATAATATATTTTTTTAAACCTTTATTTAACCAGGTGGTCCCATTGTAGTGTTGCACGGTGTCAAGCCCTTGGGTATTTTTGCAGTTTCCCCGCTTGAAAGGGATGGTACAGTCCATATAGGAGGTTTTCACTGGGTTTCACTCATACAATGACCACAACTTTGTTTTCTTTTGAGTTCTTCTTTACTTTAGTTTTTGTTGTTTGCAGTACAGCGTAAGGTTGTAAGGTGAAAAACCTTAAATGAAAAATAAAAATAATTACTGTAAATACAATGCACATGAAATAATAAATGCAAAAATACATGCTTTACATATATTTTTTAACACTTGTGAATATTGTTTTTCCTTTTAGTGTATTTTTACGAATTATGTTTTTAAACAGTTTTTAACTTATGCAGTCTCATTAAAAATGCAAATATAGACTGAATTTTTAGCAGCATTCAAACCGTTTCTATCAAACCACATCTCTCAATAAACAAATCACATTAGTTCCACACAGTTCGTTTCTCACCGGCCGCCTCTCCAGCTTTTTATGGCTGCACCAGTGCTGCTTCTTTGTAGTTTTCTTCTGCTGGTTTGTTGCTGCTGCTGGACGCACGCTTTTTAGTTTGTCCCTCTCCAGCTTTGAATTACCGCCCTCCTTTCAGGTGTGGTGCTTTTAAAGCTGCAGCGACGCTGATTAGCAATTAGGGACTGATTTCAGACAGCTGCCACTCTGTCAATCAGCCCGACTTTTTAACCCTTTGCTCTCCTGTGGATTCTCCAAGTTGACTTCACACCTCCCACTCGACTTTCCAGTGGAGACACCTGGGAGGTCGCATGTTACAAAGGTAAACTTGGGTCAGACGCTTTGTTCTGCTCTTCAGTGGGAAGCAAGACGACCAGTCGCCTGACGTCTCTGTGAAGAACTGTCGCTGGGATCTCTTCTTTGAGTTTTTTCGATGTTTGGTGATTTGCTTTTGCTGTGGTAGGCCTTGTGACAGGAACAGGGTAGCTTGGGAAGGTTCTGACGTTGACATCCCTCACAATTCCTTTGCTGTCCGAGTTGACACTGACCACTCTTGCAATCCTGAACTGACCCCTCAGGGCGTTTTGGTCTGCAATCCAGACGATGTCTCCGACTGCGACATTTCTCTTGGCTGTATGCCACTTGTTCCTTACGAATAGGTTAGGGCCAGCGAGTTGACTCCAGTGCCTCCAGAACTTGTTCACTTGCGCTTGCATTTCTTTAAGCCTTTTGTAGGGATAGTCACTGAAGTCAAATGTTCTGACATCTCCACTCTGCGATGCTCGTCCGAGCAGGAGACAGTTAGGAGTGATGAACTGAACGCTGTCTTCTCGGCTCTGTGTTCTGGCGTCAATTGGTCTTCCATTCGTAAGATTGGCTGCCATGTAGAGAGTTGTTTGGAATTCACTCCAACTTGACCCCGACTCTCCTCCCAGACTCTGCAGTGCTCTCTTGATGATGCGCACAGCAGCTTCTGCAGCACCGTTCCGGTGTGGAGAATCGGCTGGATGAATTTTCCATGTCCATTCTGTGCCATTCTTGGCAGCTCTCTCTTCTAGTGTAGCTTTGTCAAGATTGGCAAGGAATCTGTACTGTTCTTCTAGGACTGGCTTAGCCCCTACAAAGTTAGTACCTGGATCTGACCAGATCTTTTTTGGATGACCTCGTAGTGCTGTGAACCTCTGGTAGGCGAACAGGAAACTTTCAGTGGATTGAGAGTTCACCAGCTCTGTGTGAATAGCTCTGGAAGCCATGCAACAAAACACAACTCCCCAAACCTTCAGTGACACTCTTTTCTTGACATCATCCTTGACTTGGTAAGGTCCGAAGAGGTCTACTGTTGTGTATTCAAAAGGGGCAGCTGGTTCTGTCCTCTCTGGAGGTAGATCACCCATTATTTGCTGGCATCTTTTTGCTTTCGTTTTTCTGCAGAGCATGCAGTTTTCGACCACTTTCTGAGCAATCCTCCGACCCTTAACGACCCATGCTCTCCTCCTCATCTTGAGCAAGGTTCCGGCCACTCCATCGTGGTTCTCCTCGTGGGCTTCTCGTGCTAACAGCGTTGATACCCAGGCTTCATACGACAAGATAGGGACAGCAACTTTATCTTCATTGAAGATCTGCACGCGACCCCCACAGACCAACAAGCCAGTCTCTTGGTCTCTGTACACCACCAGCCTGTCTGTGGTTGTACTTGGGAAGGATGCACCTTGTTGAACCGCAAGAAAGATGTCTCTTAGGGCGTCTTCTCTCTCTTTCACTGAGATGACTTGTGAAGACGACACTGCCTCCCACTTTGGACTGTTTGCAGTTTGGCGTTTCCCTCTAATGAACTTCTTTGCTGCTCTCCAAATCCAAGCAACTGTCTTGACGAGTCGACTTAGATTGCTGAACCGCTTGACGTTCACAAGGTTTAGGACAGCTGATCCTGCTGGTGGCCTTTTTGGGTGTGTTTGGGTTTGTTCCTGATCTAGCTTTAGTTCTAATGGGTTTTGTGTGTTGGCATCCTTTGGATCTGATGGCACTTGTGCCTTGGCCTTGGCTCTGGTTAGTGCTGCAACAAACGTTTTCTTTTGCAATCTGTTGACACTGTCTCTGGCAGCTGTCACCAAATCTTTGGCAGATTTCATTGGCCATTCATCCACTGGTAACTTCAAGAACGTTGGTCCGTTCTGCCATTCTGAAGTTTCATCCAGGTCTTGAGGACTGGCCCCTCTGGTTATGATGTCAGCAATATTGAGAGGACCAGGAACCCACCACCAGTCTTGGATCGCTGTTGTGTTCTGGATCTCTCCGATTCTGTTTGCGAAGAAGGTCTGATAACCATAGCTCACTCTCTGGATTGCACCGAGGACTGTTTGGCTATCAATCACATGGAACCACTTTCCAACTTGGATCTTGCTGTGCTGCTCGAAGTACTTTTTGAGACGTGAGGCAAACACTGCTCCGCACATCTCTGCCTTGACAGCATCACCTTTTTGGTCTAAAGGAGTTAGTTTCGCCTTGGACTCCACCAGAGTGACGAATGGGCCTTGGTCGGTGTTCCACCGGAGGTACATCACAGCGCCGTAGGCATGCTCGCTTCCATCGGAGAATGTTATTGCCCAAGGTTTTCCAATGAAGCTTGGAGGCGTTATGGCCCTGGTGAATGTAACCTGCCCGAGTTGCACATACTCTTCGAAGAGTCGGATTGCATCTTCTCTGAGGCTGTCTGACAATGCTGTATCCCAGGTGTCTTTGACAGGGCAGTTGTCGCTCTTTGCCTCCTGGAATGCTCTCCGCACAAGGATGGCACCCTTCTGCTTGGCAGGAGTTACCAGACCAACTGGATCATATAACCCTGAGACTTGACTCAGGAGGTTCCTTCTTGTCAAAGGGTTTGGGGTTTGCGCTCTTACTTGGTCTAGTAGAAGGTCTTGGCCAAGTCGCATCTTCTTCTTTCTCTTTGAGAAGTTAATGGATGCCATGACATGGATCTTGTCTTCTTCCACAAGGTAGCCTAGACCAAGCGCTTTGTTATCTTCATCCCTCATTTGATTCGGGAGGACCATGTTCTTAACTTTGGTCTTCATTGGTTTGTTGTCGTTCCCCTTCCTCCCACTTTGGCCTGAGAAGACCCAAGGCTTCAACAGGAAACCTCCAGCTTTCAGGATTTGCTCCACGTTTGCTGTGATGGTTTTCAACTTCTCGAAGTCGTTGTGAGACGTGAGGATGTCGTCAACGTAGCTATCATTTTGTAGTACCTCTCGCTCCTCTTCAAGGTGGGCGAAAGGAGGTAGGTTGGCTGTTTCTCGCATTGCGAGCTGTGCTATGCATCCTGCAGGCTTGTCACCAATATTGACTCTGGTGATTGCGTACTCCTCCAACTCTTTGTCCTCAGAATCCCGCCAGAGGAACCTGTGGAGGTGCATCTCTCTATCTTCCAACCATACAGAATTGTACATTTTCCTGATGTCCCCTAAGGCAGCATTGGTTCCCCCTCTGAACCTCAGGAGGACAGCACGTATCTGGTTAAGGACGTCTGGCCCTTTCATCAGCAAGTCGTTCATGCTGGTGCCTCTGAACTTTTGACTGCTGTTCCAGACGAGTCTTACTGGGGTTGTTGTAGAGTGTGGGTTTGGTGCAATAAGGTGACTCACGAACCATACTGGTCCTTTCCAGGTCATGATCTGCTCTTTAGTCAACTTGATTGCAGCTCCTCTGTCGACCATGTCATGCACTTGAGCTTTGTAGGCAGACTTCCACTCTGGTGCTTTGGCTAGCTGCTTCTCTGTTCTTAGGAATGTTGCTTCAACTGCACCTCTGTTGTTCGGCAGTGAGGCTGGATCCTCTAGCCAGGGATACTTTGCATGCCAATGTGGTTCTCTGCTGTGATCATCGCTCATGACATAGGTGAGTCCATCCTTTACCACCTCAAGCTCCCTTTCCTCGGCAAGGGTCATTTCTTTACCACCGGGCTGGCAGTTTCCGCACCGGCAGCCTCCACATCTGGGCTCGCATGCTGCGCCAATGCTGTCCCATTGCCACCATTTCAGGAAACTCTCTTTGCTGGTCGAAACAGTTGATCCCTGTATTTCAGCTGCTTCTTTGCTTGAGGGGTTTTGTTCTGGAATGGGGTTAGTGAGCTCTTCATATTTCACAGCTGCTGCTCTCATTGATCTTGCAAAGTGCGTCTTTGACATGTGGGCTGACACTTCAACCTCCTCAAACAGTCTGGGGTGGGTTCCTCCAACTGTTCTCCCGAGTGGTCCGTCCCACAGTACGAGGTCTCCCACGACTCTGATCCTCTGAGGAGCTAGCTGGCCTTCTCTGTGGCTAATGAGAAGCTCGACTTCTTTGGGCCTCACAAGCTCATCAAGAGGTACGTCTGGGAAGAATGGCTGCAGTTGCTCAGGTGTCACACTTTTGTGGACATCTGCAATGTTGTCAAGCCCATAGCAAACCAATTGATGTGCTCTCAGTGTGCCCTTGGGGGTGGATACACGGATTTTGAGGAGATAGCGCTTTGTCTTTACTTGAACCTTCATTCCGCCAACTCCGTGTACAACGAGCATGATATCTTCACTCTTGAGATCCAGGCGGCTGGCCGCTCTGTGAGTGATGTAATTTGTGTCAGATGCTAAGTCGATGAGTGTTCCGACTTTCTGTCCGGCGTTAGCTGTGACGACGAGTAGCATCATGATCACTGGAAGCTCTTGCATTCCACTCTTTTCAAGTAGACTTTGTTGGTCATTTGAAGTTTTGAAGACTCTGGAGGCAACATTTGAGAAAGCCTCCCTACACTGCTTTGCTAGGTCTGGTGGGAGATTTTTGATGAAATCTTCTTGACCCTCTGTGTACTTCTTTTTGCCTTTGTCCTTCTCAGATTTGTCACCAGACCTCTTTGACACCGATTTGGGACAGAGGTAGTAGTGATGCTCAGCCTCTCCATCTCTGCAGTCCTCGTTTCTGCATAGAAAGCCAGGTTTGCAGGATGACTGGTCGTCGTGAACCTCAAGGCATCTTGTACACGCACCCAACTTCTTTACTGAAGCCTTCCTTTCTGCTGCCCTCAGAGCCCTGAACTGCTTGCAGAAGTAGAGCTTCCTCTTGTGTTTGACATCGCCGCAGACTACACAGCCTTGGTCATCAGCTGACTTTGTAGACTTGGTTCTGGCACTTTTCTGCTCAATTCTGGTGTCTTTCCAACTCGGCTTACTTGGTTTACTTGGCTCCTCATCTCGTAGCTGCTCGAGCTCCTCGTAGATAGTCTCTTGCTGCTTGAGAAACGCCAAGAGATAATCAAACCTTTTCTCTGGTGTCACACCATTTTTTGGATCGGCTACATAAACAAGCCACTCCTTCTTAAGGGACTCAGGGAGTTTACTCTCTATCGATTTTGTTACGAGAGGATTCTTTATGGCGCCTGTGTCTCCGAGGTCACTCAGGTCCCAGAGTGCTTTCTCCACGGCTTGAATCAACTCGACAATTTTCCTTGGTTGGCTACTTCTGACAGAAGACATCTTCTGAAGGTCTTCCACTATTTCAATGGCAATAGCCGTTCGATTGCCATAGCGGTTCTCCAAGACACGGAGAATGTCATCTGCGGTGTTATAAGTAGTGAGGTGAAAGTCTTTCTTGATCCTGTCATCGAGACTGTCTAGCAACTGTATCTTTTTCACTTCTTTGGAGCCGGTTGGTTCTCCCTGTTTTTGGAGCGACTCCCAGTCTCTTCTCCACCTGTGAAAATCACGCTTGTAGCCAGAGAATCTGGGGAGAGCTGTGGGTTTCAGCCTAATGGTTGGGGTAAAGATGGGATGACTGGCAGTATTTGTTGATCCTGACCTTGTGTCTTCCTGTCGTCTCGCCATGATGAACTCAGCCTTTCTGGAAACCAGACTGGTTGCTTCCCGTTCGATCTCTTTCAACCGATTGCGGAACTCCTTCTGGTCTTCCACTGGAACCCACTGCTGCCACTTGCAATGAGCTTCCTTTGCGGTCCCCACCAGTGACTTCAGATGGCTGAGCATGAATTCGTAGGCCTCATGGTTGCCATCAGGACGTACTCGAGCGACACGCTCACACTCAGCTTCTGCTAGTTCTACAGCTGTGCACAGTTCATCTCCAAACTTTTGCCAAAGCATGTCTCTAAGTAGCTCTCCAACCTCCTTCAGCTTTAATTCACATTCATTTGTGGTCCTTGCTATGTCGGCTTCTTGCTGTTCGGTTAGTTCGACTGACTCCTCCTCTTTCAGCTCTGCCTCCTTCACTGCAATGACCTCTGCCATGACTTCGTCATTGGTTTCCATGACTTTGTCGGCTCCCATGGAGAGTTTATTGAAGCTATATTGGAGCTGGTCTTCTGACATGCCGTCGTGAGTTCTGATGATACTGTTAGCTAGTCGTGTGAAGGATCGTTTTGCAGCAGTCCGCTCATTTTTGAGCTGCTCAACTGTTTTCCTGACTGTTTGATCAGCCATGTTGGATTTGGGTCCACTGACTGTTTGCAGGGTGGTTTTTTATCTTTTTCCAGGTCACTGTTTTCACTGTTCCAGCTTACAGCCCCGGTTTTTCACTGTCAAGCCCTTGGGTATTTTTGCAGTTTCCCCGCTTGAAAGGGATGGTACAGTCCATATAGGAGGTTTTCACTGGGTTTCACTCATACAATGACCACAACTTTGTTTTCTTTTGAGTTCTTCTTTACTTTAGTTTTTGTTGTTTGCAGTACAGCGTAAGGTTGTAAGGTGAAAAACCTTAAATGAAAAATAAAAATAATTACTGTAAATACAATGCACATGAAATAATAAATGCAAAAATACATGCTTTACATATATTTTTTAACACTTGTGAATATTGTTTTTCCTTTTAGTGTATTTTTACGAATTATGTTTTTAAACAGTTTTTAACTTATGCAGTCATTAAAAATGCAAATATAATAGACTGAATTTTTAGCAGCATTCAAACCATTTCTATCAAACCACATCTCTCAATAAACAAATCACATTAGTTCCACACAGTTCGTTTCTCACCGGCCGCCTCTCCAGCTTTTTATGGCTGCACCAGTGCTGCTTCTTTGTAGTTTTCTTCTGCTGGTTTGTTGCTGCTGCTGGACGCACGCTTTTTAGTTTGTCCCTCTCCAGCTTTGAATTACCGCCCTCCTTTCAGGTGTGGTGCTTTTAAAGCTGCAGCGACGCTGATTAGCAATTAGGGACTGATTTCAGACAGCTGCCACTCTGTCAATCAGCCCGACTTTTTAACCCTTTGCTCTCCTGTGGATTCTCCAAGTTGACTTCACACACGGTGTACCGATACTTTAAAGGTACCGCGATACCCTGCCGTTAAAAACGTTACGATTCCTCCGTTTCATTAGTATCGGTGCTTTAAGAATGACGGGGAAAAGTACTCCGGTGAGAAAGCACTGTTTTAATAAGAGCCGTGTGCGCTCTGCTTCCACTCCCTGCACAACCCTGTCTCCTAAAAATTACGTTCCCACAGAACTAAACTGCATTCTCAATTACGTTTAGCTGGAAACGTATTTTCTCCCACGTTACGTTTGTTATGAACGTATCTCAAATACGTTTATTTTCTACATATCTTCTAGAAACATATTTTCTCCCACGTTACGTTTGTTATGAACGTATCTCAAATTATTATTAATTTGGTTATTTTCTACATATCTTTGCCATTTATTGTCTTGCTTATAATAATGATAATAGTCATTTATAAATATCATTTTAGAGCACACATTTGAAATCGACGATCGGGCTCGATATATGGTTAAATTAAAATCAGTAGGCGAGGGTGTAATTTCAACACAGTCTCAAAGGCAATGTGAGCGTCCATTCCCATTGGATAACGGAGGATTTTACACCCGGAAGTAAGTATTCTCTTTACTGTCGATTGATTTTACAGTGATATCTGCACTACTCATCAACTCAAAAACACCAGATTATCCTTGTTAATTACACAACATTGATTGGTTTAAATTGTGTACAATACTTTTGTATTTTCCCCCTTCGATTCGGAGAAACAAATATTTTTTCGGAGTTTAGGATGGCAGAAGACACTACACTACCCAGAATCCTCAGCTATCGTTTGGGACTACACCATGTGCTTTGCTTGACAAACCCCGTAATTAGTCTTCAAGCGCTGTGATTGGATGTTGGAGTGGCAGTGCGCGAAGTTTACACCGAGCGTCAAACAGCAGTTTGAAATGGAATGAAACCCATCGACGGCACACTATTCAAAACAGGAATCAAACGTGTCCCCCCCCCCCTATTTAAAAGAAGACCTTAACCTAAAGCTTTCTTTAATGCCTTAATAAAGGTTAATTAGTTTGTCTGTTTTGTACATCCTCCTATTAATATCTTTGTACATCCAGCACTAAACTGTTTTATTGTAGAGATCACTTACAGTATCTTCTTGATTTTTTATATTCTATATTTCTATCATTGACCTTCTACTTTCCCCCAATGAAAGTATGTACTCTTAATATTTTTTTCATCAAATAACATTATTCAACAAAAATAATTCAATAACGTGCTTTAACCACTAGGCGGTGCACACAAGGTACACACAGCATACTAATAATAACTTTGTATTATTAGTGTAGGACACTTATGTATGTATAACATCTGAAGATGTGTAGTTTTATTCATGTTTTTACATAATTTTACAGGATATTGCTATACTATTTCTCATGTTTTACTTCTACACATTAATATCTGATTTGTAAAACATCACAGATAGAAAGGTATATCCGTCATTTAATGGTAAGCTATTGAAATTGTGATTCCATAGATGTGTCTCCCATCACCCAAATCCCCTGACTATTCTCTCAACTCAGTATTTACATTCTTATATTCAAAGAAAATCAGTAATATCTTTAAAAACTACAAGTCCTTTTCTATCAGCTGTGCACCGTTATGGTGTAAATATAACCTATCTACCAATTGGATCAAATATAAAAGTCAGCTGAATTACTATTGATACTGCAAGGAGACGTATTTTGTGAAAATAAATGTAAGATATTGTGTAATTGTTAATATATTTATGATCCACGTCACGTATTCAGTTTCGGCGGCAGTGCTTCCTGTTTGTCCAGAAGTCTTCTCATCAGGGCTCTATAAATAAAGAACTACGGCAGATGTGTAATATTTAATGCAGCCGAACCGTGTATTACAATGCCGTTATGTGATGACTTCCCAAGAGAAAAGCAAGAACACTCGGAATAAAGTATTATTTTATTTTAAAAATGTTTTCGGATTTCACATCGCATAAACACCATCTCCCAACGTGCATTGCGGCTAAAACATCCAATCAGTGAGCTGAGGATCTTTCCTACATCTGTTTCCGATATTGTTCCTGTAATGAGAGTTCACATTTATGCTACATTGAAGGGTGGAATTGACTACACATCTTCAGAAACATAATTTGCTTCAGATATAACTCATAGCAATATTGTAAACATTAAGAAAAGCCAACTGCATTAAAAACCCAGTTAACAAACACTAGGTAAAGTATTTTTCCTTCAGTAATGAAGATGTAATTCCAATGTAGACACACCTGGGGTCGCTGTTCAGTCTGTTACGCTGAGCCATGCATTGTCTGGAACGTAAAAGGGATGAAGAAGACAAAGTGAAGTGACGTACTTCCGGTTCCACATGAAAACATTCCCAGTGCAAAAACAAATCGCTAAATAAAAAGATAAAACACTGGCATGTAATTTACGTTAGAATAAATAGAATGGTTTTGAATAATAGATGAGAGTAAAATCTACGTCACTTTACAGCCCCGCCCACTTTTGGGGAAACCAACGCTGTAATTTGAACGGCGATCAAGCCTGAAGCAACAGAGCTCTTCTTACTGTCCTTTGTTCTTAGAGGAAGTACAGAAACACGTAACTCTGGATTTGTTTTAATGTTTGAGGTGCAATAAACGACACAGCAGCTTTTTGGCATGTTAAAACTATTATGTTCTGCCTTGCTCATGAGAGTAACAGCTGGCGAAATTACAGCCTCGCCTACTGATTTTTATTTAACCATATATCGAGCCCGATCGTCGATTTCAAATGTGTGCTCTAAAATGATATTTATAAATGACTATTATCATTATTATAAGCAAGACAATAAATGGCAAAGATATGTAGAAAATAAACGTATTTAAGATACGTTCATAACAAACGTAACGTGGAAGAAAATATGTTTCTAGAAGATATGTAGAAAATAAACGTATTTGAGATACATTCATAACAAACGTAACGTGGGAGAAAATATGTTTCTAGAAGATATGTAGAAAATAAACGTATTTGAGATACGTTCATAACAAACGTAACGTGGGAGAAAATATGTTTCTAGAAGATATGTAGAAAATAAACGTGTTTGAGATACGTTCATAACAAACGTAACGTGGGAGAAAATACGTTTCTTGCTAAACGTAATTGAGAATGCCGTTTAGTTCTGTGGGAACGTAATTTTTAGGAGACAGGGTTGCCCTGCACTGCAGCCGTGCCTGCAGTCCCTCCCCTCTCAAGCACGCTCTAAGTGCCTCCCCTCTCTCATGCACGCGCTAGCTGCCAGAGCATGTGAGAAAACGAGAAGCTGCAAGTGGGAGTGAAACTGGGGCTGCGCCTCGGCTTGTTGACAAAAAAGACGCCAGAAGCTAAATGTGGAAGTATTTGAGCTATATCTCTGACAGTGAGGGCAAGCCTACGGACACCACGAGGCCTGTCTGTAAGAAATGTTTTAGATCCCTGCAAACCAAGGGAGCCAACACATCAAGCTTGGCTAAGCACCTCGCCGACCGGCATCCAGAGCTGTTTAAAGAATTTAAAGACAGACAGGTTAGCGAATGTGATAGATAACATAATTACATCATGCTCGAGCCCATGCCCTCAAATCTAAGTCAAACAAGTGTCATTTATTTTGTGACAAACGAACGTTTTCGTAGTTTGACGAGGCAATTAATGGCAATGATAACTGTCTAATATGGCTATCTTTTTAGCTAACTTGCTAATCTGCAATGTACATTTTGTCAATAATTATTTATATTACTGTACTATTACATGTTAATAAAATATAAAGTTAACTATCAAAGAAATCACATAAACTCAAGTATAAAGAAGAGACCATGTTGTAAGAAAACACTTAACAGATAAACTACAATTTTATTGATCATGAAAATAATAAAAGAAAAGTATCGAAAAAGAATCGGAATCGCAATTCTTGATTTGGTATCAGTATCGAAACCAAAATGTTGGTATCGTGACAACACTATCCCATTGAGATCATCGATCTCTTTTTCAAGAGAGACCTGTCCAACATGGCAGCAAGTACGTTACAACATGAACATAAAACAACAGATAACACAAAAGTACATCGTATTTACCGGGCTACATTTACATACCTAGAGACATTGACAAGTACCAACAGTATATGTATATCTCGCCCTGTCAATAAGCCTCACCTTCTTGGCAACAACTGTATTGTTTTTGAAGTGGTGGAGAGACAATGCACAGTTTTACTCACTGCTGTCACCCATGGACAAAGCATATCTCTCTGTCCCAGCAACATCAGTACCAAGCAAGAGAGTTTTTTCCACAGCAGGGGATATTGTAAATGCCCAAACATCCCAGCTTCTACCTGGAAATGTGGGCATGCTCATATTCCTAAAAACCTGTCTGATGATGCTGAGTGAGTGAGTTAGTGAGTTTGAGTTGAGTTACTTGAAAAACTAAAGTGAAACTTGATTTATTTTATTGCAGGGTCTGATTATTATATTGTTGACACTTGAAAATACTACTAAAATGCTGTACAAATCAGATTTATTATTCAATAAAGAAATAAAATTCAAGTAAAAAAAAAAAAGGATTCACAATTATTTTTCTTCTTTATTTTTCAATATCGCTATAAATATCGTACCGTGGACTTTTTATCGCGATATTATCGTACCGTGAGTTTTTGGTATCGTTACATCCCCAGTAATCAGTCATTACAACTTCACGAATCTGCTCTGTGGCAGTATAAATCGACGAATCTGCGGCCTTGACTTTTGCTACACTTCTCGATGAATGTGTCGCTAAAGTAATTTTCACCTGTAGATGTGGGGGGAGGGAGGGGGGTTGGAGCGAAGGGGCGGAGCTATCAGAACGACGAGGCGCAAGCTCGGGTCAGTCACACACAAGTCACAGCCATAGTCTGTGACTGTTGCCCCTTTCACACCAACGCAGCTCCCGTTCTAGCAACAATGGGGGACTGCGTCGGGTCCATGATCGTGTTACTTTTAATCATA